CCCCGAATAAATCCAAATAATAGAACGGGGTGTTGGAGTGTTGTTTGGTGGGAAAGAGCTGCAAATACCTTCAGTGAGGGTTACAGTCAACATTGTCTGATCCTTGAGGTGTAGTTATGCACACGGACAGTCATTATGGACATGTATATCAGGTTTGTGTAATGTAAACCTTGATTTATGTCACCTAGCATCGAGTAATACAAGTCAAATCGACGATCGTTGCTAGAACCAATGTGATAAGTTAACTTCAATTTCCTGTAATTGTTGTGGCGATTAGCCCAAGATGCGAGTTGGCTAAATCAATAAAGTTGACAGGAATTGTTGGTGAAGAGGCAGTGAAGAAAATTCCGAAAGGCGGCATCCAAATAAAGTAATTGATTATTGATCATTAATGATTGATTGATCAAATGAATTACTTGGATGTGACTGGAAATAGTGGTGGTGCTTATAAAGCTTCAGCTAGTACATGCAACCACTTCCCTTAGAGTCAAGTATGGTTTGCTGAATTTGCTCATTCTAGTAAGTTGTGCAACTGGAACTGGAACAAGTTGACTAATCAGAAATTTCTCAGCACCTTCATGCTAATTTAACATTTATATCTACATGCCAGATGTCTTGAATTTAGCTATATTCACAAACCACACATACATATAACTGCATACCTTACCAGGCCTGACTAGATTAATTAACAAAACCTTCTTGATAATGAATTCCTCAGCTCATATAGCTTTTTCTCAAACAAGGATCATTTTAACTTTCACAAACTCTAAATTAAAACTCCACATTTTAAAATTCAAACTTTTAATTAAGCAGAGGATATAGTTCTCCAAATAATTCATGATCAGGCAAAACACAGAGCTCCTTTTAAAAACATTGATACCTATAATTCAGAGTAGGAGTCTACATTGTATCATCAAACACACCAGGTTGCATATATGGCTGAACGCTGCTAAAACCAATCATATCAATTGTTATCACACTACTGTGTTGGCCTCCTTACACACCCTGCTAATGGAAAGGGGTTCCTAGTGTTCCTACTTGAAAAGAAACTAATCAAATTTGAACAGAACACCTGTTCTGTGTTGACTAGAATTGCTAATAACAACACACATTCAACCAAATACTCTTCTGTATAAGGGAACTGACTGCTGGAAGTGTTAAAGATGTTTGTAGTCCTTTCTTTTGGTACATTGCTGTCACAGTTTATGGCAATCAGTCGTTGGTAAATTTTGGCTGGCCATCAACATGTAAGAATAATTCCCAAAGTATTACAATAAACAGAGCTATTCAAACCTAATGTAACACTATCTTATAGCAATAGAAAATACCTCTTGAATACCGATGGAGTATTTTCTACTTTGGGGGTAAAAGTTATTGTCGAGTGTTGACCATGGGTGACATTTTGCCAATTTTGGCCACAGACTACCAGGACTGTTGTTTAGTCCATTGCAGGAATAATCACAAGACCAGTTACAAGACCAGTCACAAGACCAGTCACAAACTAGTCACAAGACCATCCACAAACCAGTCACAAGACCAGTCACAAACCAGTCACAAGACCATCCACAAACCAGTCACAAGACCAGTCACAAACTAGTCACAAGACCATCCACAAACCAGTCACAAGACCAGTTACAAGACCAGTCACAAACCAGTCACAAGACCAATCACAAGACTAGTAATGAGTCATTTTAAAAAGTACAAGACAGTCCAAAATGTTAAACTTCTCTTCAACTACACGTCCTACAGTTCTCCAAAAGAATTGGGTAGAGTTATGTGGATCTGCTGAGCAAAAGCAATGCTCTGACAGCAAAAAGGTCCCTTGAGTACTGACCAAAGGCATTAACACACTTCAGCTAAGCAGTTTTGCTCTGTGCTTAGCAACTCTATGAGGTCGGCCTGTGATCCTCAGAGACATATTTAAAAGAAGGTGTAATGTCAAGTGACTGTTCAAAGTGAGCATGTTAGCATGTGCTCTCCAAAAGGGATCAACTCTTTCTTTTTTTACATAGTACATGTATTATGAAAACTATGAAAATTGTCCAAGCAACAGGCTATAGAGTACTACCTGTACTTTTCACATAGCGCCATGGTATGCAATGCATTACACGCTGTTGTATGCCAGGAAACCAAATAAAGCGTATATACCTAGAAACAAGCTCATGCAGTGGTTGCCCAACAAAACGTAAACATATTTAGAAGTTTGACACTTGTCAATATTTTTCAGAGCAAATACCTGTGACATTTCAAATGGCGCACTGATGTTACATTTTAGTGGTTTGGCATCAGTGATTGTAGTTTGTGAATGAATGCTTCTTTTTTATCGTAAGTTATTTACTTTGTACATCAACACTAACAACCGAGGGATCATCACTTGTACATGTACAGGATTCTTCACATATGCAGGCAGCTGCATCTTCAAGAAAAAATAAACAGAGCAAGGGGGGGATTCAAGTCAGTGTACTTTACTGCTTCCTCTTGCTCCTTTTGCAACACTTATCCAAACTAATCCAATATATTCCAAAAGACTGAGAAAAACAGCTACACACAGAAAAAGTTGCTTTCCTCTCCTAATTCCAATCTCAAATCTGTTAACAATTTTTACACTGTCATGCACTTGAAGGACAAACAATTCAGTGTTTTCAAAAATGAGAAAGTTGAAGAGTAGAAAGCTAAAGGAAACCACCTGTTAATTTATGCCTCATTGTCTGATGGATAGAGAAATATGCAGGTGTACAGTACATGTTCACGTATTTCTAAATAAATAAAACCACCATCAAGCCTTGTTACAAAATGTGTAAGGTTAATTTTGTTTTGGGGTTGAATAATGTAGTTTCTTTTACCTCACAACTAATACCAAAATGGTCCAAGGCTCCGGAGTACAAGACTTAACCTTTAACCCTAGAGCTGATTAGTGAACCCATATGTTGTGTGTTTAGTAACGGAGCAAGGAAAAGATGAAGGCTGTGAATCACACTGTAAATTGATACGCAGGATATTCAAACAAATTGGCTGCTGCTTATCATAAACACAATCTTAGAAACCTCACAGTTTCTGTCCTGGGTAGGAAGTCTTTGATCTATATTTGGCACTGGCGTTTTGGATGCTGATGTTAAAATGGGACATTTTTGTGTCTTCCAACCTTTGTTGAAAGAAACCTGTCAGAAAGTGTTACGGACGTGGCAGAAATATTTAATTGCTGGAATATAAACAAACAGTTGACTAGTCCTGCATCTGGTTTTGGGATTTGCATCTACATGTGGCATGTGTCGATTTGTGATGGAACAACAATTTGTTATTTATTACTGTACTTTAATTTATTACTGTATTACTGACAGCGCAACTTAAAACAAAAGAATGATTCCAATCTGTGGGTAAGTAAGAGCACATTGGGTTGATTCTGTGACAGACATTGACAAACCAACTACAGACAATAACAATTATTGTGTTCTTTCAATATACACACTTATTACAATGTCATATCTAGCGGCTGTGTGGGTCATTGAACATCAGGTGTTTGCATATTTTGTAAAGTCTCACTGGCCCTGGAACATGGATTTTTGATTACTCATTTCACATCTGATTGCATAGCATGTTGACCATATGGTGCGATATTTGGTGTTGGTGCGCAAAATGTGGGGTTTTTTTTGTATTAGGCAAATATATTACTCTTTTGGAAGTAAATTACGTTAAGATGTCTGTATACTTACATTCTAAAAAAGAAACAAATCATGAAAATTAATCACTTAAATATGTTAAACACTCTTTCTAAATCAAATGCAAGAAGTACACAAAGATGTAATCTTACTGTGAAAATGAATCTTTGTTAGTTTGGTATGAAAACTGAAAGCTGTTCAATATTGCTAACACTTGTTTTAGTTTAGTTCAGGTTAATACATTTACAAAAATTTGTGAATTAACAAGTTTGTTGACAGCAAGAGATAAAATCTTTTCAAAGCACTGCCCTGTTTTAAGGATTTGAAGTTAAAATCACAGCAGTTTCTTGCCTTCATGATCTCTGACACAAGGTCAAGTCAGCGTGATAAGTTTGGCATGCAAGCACAGGTACAAAAAGTAAACGCTAATTATTATCGAGTTCAAAAGCATTGTGGGAAGAAAAGAAACGTCAAAAGTCTTTACATGTCAGTTGAAATTGACATGTCAGTCTTTTTCATATTGCTGTCAAGGCTTGGGTGTCATGCTATGCCTGTAATACCTTAGTCTCGGTTTCAAGACGTTAGTGCTTGATAGCGGACACCGTGCACAGTGCGCCCCCTTACAACTCACAATTAGACTGTGCGCCAGCTCGCACTAGTAAGAGTAAGTAAAATCTAGGTGTGCGAGGGCGCTCTTCAACAGAAATAAAACAACTATCGATCACTGACGTCTTGGGCCAAGACTAGTAAACCTTTTCACTTCAAAGCATGAAATTAGGCAAAACTTGCTGAGACAATCAATTTCATTGTGCCATTATTGGTTTTGATGAATCATATATCAAGGTCACACTCTCAAAGTTTAAATGTCGCAAGCACATAAACCAGAGTAAAACTAACGATTCGGCTTTGGGGGATTTTACCTTGATATTTCTTTCTGTCATTTTGTTCAACCACATGCTTTTGGTCAAAGACTAAAAGACTACAAGTGATCACAAAATGTCCCGACGTCTAACTATTTCATGCTCAGTTGCTTATTTTTAAGGCCAGCAAATCAGAAAAATAATAAATTTGTTATGGTTGACAGCATCACAGGCTACCAGTCTATTTGGTATACATTGGAACCAGACTCAATAAGTGTAATCCAAGTCTGTCC